TCTCTCTCTCTCTCTCTCTCTCTCTCTCTCTCTCTCTCTCTCTCTCTCTCTTCTTCGTTTACTCTTTCGTTTCTCTCCGCGTCTCGTCCATCCGTTCCTCTCGGCCTGTGTATGTCTCTTATGATTACGCGCGCAATAAACCGATATCTCGGGACGTCGTTAAGGCGAAGACTTTCCGTGGCTTCCGTCCATCCCTCCAAACAGCAAGGTCGTGGTTCGTTAATTAATGGACGATTTCGCTGCGGGCTGCCGCGAACCTTGATCCCAGCGGAGCGCGCGCTCCGGTGATCGTTAACCGCTCGATACGGTCTTCGGCGGTGTACAAGCGCAGGAAAAGTCAAACGCTAATTGCGCGAGAGTGAGTGTGCGTGCGTGCGCGCGGACTTGGCGGAATCGAATTCAATATCGGGCCATTATACACAAAACATTAACTTTGATGAGTGAGATGGAGTCATACGGGCGCGATAATACCGCGGCGATAATGGAGAGTCGTCTCGCGCCTGTCGTTCGTCGTGTGTCGCGAAACATCATGAGCAAATTATTTCGATAAATCACTTCCACGCCACGGGAATATATAATTTGCCTCGTCGCATTATGCCGACGGGGTCGCCGTAAACTCGCATGACCGACGCCGCCCAACATCCGTCTCGGTGACTCACGATGCGCGCTTTAATCCCCGCCGCAATTAGGCCCCGCTGCCAATCCCGGTGCGCGATTGCGGCGTATGATTTCGCTCGATCGCGGCCGTTTACGCGCTTTTTTGCCGCTTCTGTTCCTGTCCTTTGTCACTTCTGGTCTCGTCACCGCCGAGACACGACGGTGCGTCGCGTTTACAACATACGAACGCGGAAAGGTAGACCGCTGGAGCCGAGAGGTAGCCGAGAGCGTAGTCATGAGAAGGTGTGCAGGGGCGCATACTTTTGCGCCGCGACAGCCGTGTGTCATTTCAGCGAGACGCCATGTGGCATTTCAATGCATTATTTCAGCCGGCAAAATGCCTGATATGCAAAACCAGATCTCGCTCGGGCCACTCTTTCGCTGCGCGTGTCTCTCTTTTACGCGCGTTCTCTCTTCGCTCTCTTTCCACGATGGATCCGATCGTCTCTCTTCCTCTCCTCATTCTCTTTCTCTCCACCTCCCCCTTTTCTCTCTCTTGCCTCTGTTTTTGGTATCTTCCTCCTTCGATCGGTAGCCGCGTACCCGGCTTTCGTGTCGCGTTGTTGCTGTTGCTCTCACTGCAACGGTCATCCCTGTTACCTTTGGAAGCCGGCCGCGGCATCCCGGCACGGGAGGTATATAGAACATTTTTCCCTCTTTCGCTCCTGGACCACCCGGTAGATACAGCACGCGGGTCAAACGAGGACCAGTTCTCGTTAGAACGACTCGATAAATAGCGCGAACTGGTGGCAAGGACGTCGAGATGGTACCGGGGATGACGTGTCAACGCCGAGATAATTGGAATGCGGATCATTTTTGTTAGAATTGTTCCTTCAATGAGACGCACCTATATTTGCTTTACAGAAATTCGTATACATCTTATTCGTCTGTTCATTCGGCGATAGGCACAAGAATATTTTTATTTTTTAACAAAAATGATTTTTGAATAAGACATTTGTCACGATACCATCGATTTTTTTTTATATTAGAGTACCGGCAGAGACTCGAAAACAAACTCTAATTCGCAGACAGTCGATTTACCGTGAAAGATAACTGCGGAGCATTCGAATTGGCTTCGCGCAATCGTAAATAAGCGTGTCGGAGTCGTGCACTACCGGCGTCCGATCATTATCCCACGCTTATTAAGAGTTATTGCGAGAGTCATGCCGTATCACGAAAGCGCTCTGCTCCGCAGGGAATTTTTCTTGTTTACGTTTACGTAACTTTCTAATAATATTGTTTAATATAGATGTGGAGATATAATTAAGATACGATTTTGCGAAACACACGAATCATTACGATTTCTAATGGTAGACGTAGACATTAGATTTTCCTCGCTCGAATAATTTCAATCATTCCTTAAAGTAATAATATAGTTGTTACAGCTATCATTTTTTAATAAAAAAATATGTTAATTTAATCGTGAAACGAATTATTTTAAAAGCAACATAAAAAAATTATATAATTCTCCTGTGTTATGGCCTTAAGAGGAGTTTTCTAAAACAAAATAGAAAATATTTTAACATTAAAAAACGAAACTCCAGTTGCAAAATGCTATTTCCTGTAACCTCATATTCTAAGCGGAAACTTTTATCGAAGGAGGGAATATTTCTCTTCTAATGAAATTAGAATTCTCTTATTATGAAATTATAACTCTTCTTATAAAATCAGAATAGGGGGCACAATAATTCTAATAATATTGTTTTTAGAGTGTTTTCCTTTTGATTTCAGAAGAATCCTCTTGAGGCTATATATAAGAGATTCTCATCCGCTAAAGATGAGATTATATCTTTTTGGGTGAAGACCTTTCTTTAAGAAAAATAATCATTGTGTTGCAATAGCTTCTTCTCTCAGGCGCGGCTTGATCTCTCGCGATAGTTACTTGCAATAAGTAAATCTCATCTCTTCTTGTTCGATATAGTTCACTGGACCGCGAACGGCAAAGCAGCTACACCTTCCTCATAGTTGCCATGGATAGCGGCAAGTACGACGCGAAGAGCACCTCGATACCCGTTGAGATTAACATCAGCGACGTGAACGATAATGCGCCGGTGTTCGAGAAGTATCCATTTCGTACGCGCGTGTCGATCGGCACTCTACCGGGTCAGAATATTCTGCGGGTGTCCGCCAACGACGCCGACGAGGGTGCTAACGGGGAGATCGTGTACTCGTTATTGCACGAAGAGGAGAAGCCGAAATTTCGGATCCATCCTAGCACCGGCATGATAACGGCGAGTCTATCGTTGTCGCAGGATAACGGCAAGGTCTACAACCTGGAGGTGTTGGCCAGAGACAAGGGAAACCCGCCGAAGAGTGCTAGAGGTTTGATCGAGTTGCAGATAGGTGATCTGGCGGACCTGGCGCCGGCTCTGAAGTTTCAGAACGATCCGTACAACGTCGTCGTTCAGGAAAATGCACCAGCCGGAACGGAGATCGTCCGGATCACCGCGGTGCGCACTGACGGTAGAAGACAGCATGTCTTCTACTTGATCGTGTCGGGAAACGACTTCGATACTTTTGCGATCGACGAAAGTACCGGTCTGCTGCGCGTTAACGATCCCACCAAGCTGGACGCGGAACTCTGGAACGATTTAACGGTGAAACCCAGCGACGAGCTGCCGGCTGACGCGGGACGCACGGGTAACTCGTGGGGCAGATCTCTGGAAGGCCAGCAGCCGAAGGAGGAGCCCAGGGAAAGCTCGAGGCACACTCTCAACGTGATGGCTAGAACGGTGGGCCCGGATACCCTCGAGGCGTACGTTAAGGTGATCGTCAGGGTGTCCGATGTCAACGATAACCCGCCGATCTTCACGCAAACGCAATACTCTGCCACTGTGCTCGAGGGAAATACCAAAGGAGACTTCGTTGTCAAGGTAAGGAAATCTTATGATTTCGTCAAGTCGTCGCATTTCTGTTTGTAGTATTATACGCGGCACTCTGTTTCACGATTAATATTTTCTATCTTAATTAGTTTTCCACAATCAAGTTGTTAGCACTTTAAATGGAAAGAACGAGGTAACTTTTATGTTACAAAACTTTTATAATTATAAGAAAAAAAAGTGATATAGGAACGCAATAAGAAAATGAAAGTATCATTTGTTGTACTCTTGATAATAAATATAAAGATTGATTATCGATTCTGTGTTAAAAGCAAATCACATTCGCATTTGCTGTGAGCAAAACGGGTTTACACTTATTCATTTATCTCTTCACTCATTTTTTTTAATGGAAAGTACGTATAGGAAATACATTCTGTAAAAAAATATATGAAATATCTTCCGATTCAGAAATGGCTTAGTTGACAGATTATAATACGACAGTTGCGGGATATAGACATAATTAGACAATCAGAAAATGTAAAAGTTTAGTTTATTTTCTGTATAACGTCAAAAAGGTATAGATATAAAAATAATTAGTTACATTGATCTACTTAAAATATTATACATTGTATTATGCATCAGCTGTACCATCCATATTCTCTATTTCAGCTTTCAGCAAGTGACGCCGATCAAGGGATGAACAGCAGGATCCTGTATCATATTGTAGACGGCAATCCAGACAATGCCTTCACTATAAGTCCACCATATAGTGGAGTCGTACGGACTAATATAGTCCTCGATCGTGAGATTCGCGAAAAGTACAGGCTAACTATCATCGCAACCGATCAAGGGAATCCTCAATTAACTGGCACGGCTGCATTGAGCATACGAGTGATCGATGTCAATGACAATGAACCAACCTTCCCGGAACATAATATCATCGCAGTTTCTGAGGGTAAGTCACAGTTTTGCTTTAACATTACTTTTGACACAGTAGACCATAAAACAATTATGACACGATGCGTTTAGATCGTGTCATGTTCTTTACATTATTTTTCTATTTACATTATGTTTGTTGTACAACTAATCTAGTATCTGGTGCGCTGTCGATTTTCTCCTTAAGTATTCGATCTTTGCATTTCTCGAATTGCGGCACCATTTCTTCGAGACTTTTGTCACCGTCTATAATCATGACTGGCGCCGGTAAAGAGAATAAGGTTCGTTTGTAGAGCCAGCCCTCGTGAATTTCGTGAATTTGTCTCAAGTACTCTAGTGGCACGGATTCCTCTTCTTTCCGTGCGCGTGCTTGCATTCTTTGATACACGACCTCTGGCGTTGTCCTCAGATACACTACAACGTAAAGCAAAACTTAGTAAAAACATATATCAGAGGAACAGAGAAAGTTATATTTTATATCGAGCTCTTTCTTGATTCAACGGGTAAATAAGAGCCGATATGTCGATATGACAGTGTATGTGAATGTATCGTTAGGAATTTAACTGAACGTTCTGAAATTATCAATTAAAATTTTTTTCAAGCAATAAAGTGAAAATTCTTCATGTTCTGCCAAAGTTAAGTTTTCAAACGTTCAAGAATTCTCCCTAAAAAACTAGTTAATGATAAATTAATGAAAAATTATTTAATTTTTATTTAACTTATGTTGAATTAGTTAAACGGCTCACAAATATATTTACCCATCAAGTCCACTTTGATATTAGCATTTTCTACGCTCCAATTGTACCAATTTTCCAGAATTGTAGCCTCCATATTGGATATCGTATTTGTAAGTTTCATGTTCTCTAGAAAGCACCTTGTACTAAATATTGATCTTTCCATGACTTTGTAAGGCGTTAGTGTGCTCATAGTATGTAACTCTAACCTGGTTACTTGAGCATAAGATTGAAATAGGAATGAATACCTTTCCGAGTTCTTGTACAGAAGATCCTGAAAGTATCATCAATTGGTTCAGTCAGTTGAATTTTCTAATTTGTGTCTTCTTAATTAATTCGCTATCGCAAGTATGAATAAGGCTTATGACTGAATACAACGAGAGTATCACCAATTCGGTGTAGTTTATACGAGCCAATAATTGAGATTGCTACAATAATAACAATAGATGCTTACAAGGACATCATGCTCTAAGATAACATTAGATTATTCATGTCCTATATATATATTAACCGTAAGCAATCATAATACGTTTCAGACAATCTCACCAGTAAATTCACTCCTCCCACATTGCGCCACAAATTTACTGGTTCTGGCAAAATCGTAGCTCTGTTAAATTCTTGAAACTGTTGCAGAAATGTCGTCTTGCCACTTCCAATATTGCCCTCAATGCAGATCGTAAATGGATTTTTATAAAGTTTCTGCAGCGAAGTCATTTTTTTTATGCAAATGCGACAGACTCTTCCTGAAACAGTGCATCACTCTCATTAAATTAGTGGCGCTAAATAATAAATTTCAAATTTTTAATTTAATCGTCATAGAGTGTCAGCAATAACATTAATAGCTATATTTTTCAGTATTAAAATATAATCAATTAGACATTCACTTTAAAGCAGTTATATAATGAATCCACGCGATTTTTACATGTTTGTTTGCTTAGTTTATGCGCTTATTCACGAATAAACGAAATATATGCGGTAGAATAAATAAAATAGTACCTGTAGCAGTTATTTTGATGATGATCAAGTCCGCTGTCGATGTATGCAGGCGCACGTGTGATTAATTTCTTGACGTTATTGTTGCTTCTTATATTTGCTGTTGTATTTTTCACATTTAACATTAAAACTCCCCGAGCAACATATTTCGTAAATACGACTGATGCCAACGTACTGCGACAAATGACCAACACGCCGTTGATCTACACGTGTAACGTAGACGGTGCTTTCCCGCCAAAACTGCACAACACACTGACATCACTGTTGTCCCATTGATTTCGGTGTAAACAGTCTCAAGTTGTATTTCTGCATCACAACTGCCGGTTAAACGACATGAAATCAATTATTTCTATTAATTAATTTTACAATATTCAATTTAAATATTGTACACCGGTTTCTTTATCCTTATATCTACAATTGCCCAATACATGTGTCCGTCAGTAAATAAAATACAGCTCGGAGTCACGACTCGAGTGTGCGGGTGTCGCGTCGTCAAAATGGAAGACCTTTCCGTCACGTGTTCGGGCGCTTCCAGACCATGAAAGGCATACTCAGCCGTACGCTTGCGCTGCGATATAACCAGCGGGAAAATCAAATGCATAAAGTAAAGTGTCTGTGAGAGAAAACGCTGAAATTTGGAATTTATATGAATTTATTTATTGTGAAACAATTTAATCGGACATTGTGTGAATCGTGTTTCGAGCTGGATATAACGTATTCGACTATATCACACAAATTCGTCAAATTTAATATAAATCACAAATATTTCATTACTTTTTTTATTATTTAAAGGGCAATTTAAAAAATGCCCAAAAAAATGGGCGTCAAAAAATGTCATGTTTGTTAAATCGTCTAAGATAATGTTACGAATTGTTTGTCCACTTGCTCGTTAAACGTCCGTCTTTTATACTCCTCTCTCGCTATTCCGCTACACAGTCTCGCGAATAACGAGTAGCTGCTTAAGATACTTGGTATCGACGGCGATATCGAGTATCAGGCAGTATCTGCGGACATTCAAGATCCTCCTTTGCGGTCGGGTCATCACGCGGAATGATGTTACGATCGCGAACTACCTCGACTTTATGGTAACATGAATTGCTCATCTGCTATAGCTTTATCCGCGATCGGAGCCCAGCCACATTGTATTACAATGTGGAATGGCGAAGGAGCTCGTTAGGACACTCACAGTGTCGACGACAGTAGCATCACGCGGTATCTATGATAATCCTGCCGGCAATACTGGCTCGGGTTTCATTCGTGATGACGATAGCTCGAGTTTCATTCTACTCGTTGTGGCTCGCGACTGTCTACCCGCGCGATCCTCCTCGAAATTCAACGGGCTTTATGATGGGTTCACTCCTCCCAAGGTCATCCACACGTGCGACGAAAGAAAAAAAGCCCTGACCGCGGCTGCACGTCGTAGCACGTCGGGGTTACACTCTCGTGCAATCATTCGAAGGGATTCCCAAAGTGGGTGTTTTATTTAGAAAAAGTTTCCACGATTCCACTCTATATGCAAGCATGCGCAAGTCGAGAAGCTGCATTGGCCCTCTCAACAAAAGGCAGACTTGAATACTTGAAATCTACAATCCAATTTTTCTATACGATGGGAAAGGTTCCGGTGTATATTTAGAATAAAATATACTAGAGCGCTTCTCTTTCTATCTAAGAGAGAACGGATAAACGGTGGCGCGAGAAGAGGAATCGATGAAGAACGCGTAAGCAAGAATAGGCAGTGGAAGAGGGGTCTGAGCACGCTGAGAGGGCGGGAACGCATTCTACTCTCCAAGTATAAAGTTAAGTGGCAAAGGATTTATGCCGGCATTAAAGTCCAACTGTTCGGAACAATCTGCATAACTTAGGCGAGGCTGCCGAGGCGCGCGTTCGGTGGCTCAGGCTGCTCGGTCTCTCTCTCTCTCTCTCTCTCTCTCTCTTTCTGTCCCTCTCTTCGCTTCTCTTTCTCTTTCCCACTTGTTGGGCCTCGGCACATGGGGCCCTCTTCCTCCGGCCTTTCTCGCCACCATATTGTTCCCCATTGACAGATACGATTCAATGGAACGGCACGGGACCGAGGTGGCCGCGAGTTTGACGTACAAGCGCCAACCTCGCGCTACCACCTCTCGAGGCGCAGAAAAAGAAGGATCCGCGAGTCCCTTTCGATCGTCATCGGTGGGCAGCTAGTCAGCGAAGATGACGCGACGAAAGAGGGACGGTGATCGAGTAAGTTCAACCGCATCATCGAATAACGAAGACCATGCGGTTTCGATGATACCTCGAACGGGCCCGTTTTCTTCTCGCGGCCTCGTTCCTTCCTGTCGAATGGAATTCCCAATAGCAAACAGGTGGCGAGTCACGCACGTTCTAGCAATCGTTCGGGGAACGTGGGGGATATAATAGGAGATTCCTCCGTCTCTTTATTGCGCTCGCGTTTTTGTCTTGGTCCCTTTCTTTGCCTTCCCCTGGTTGCTACCGCTGCTGCTGTTGCTGCTGCTTCTGCACCTTTCTTCTTCTTGTTCTTCCGAGAACGCTGAACGCGAAGGTCGTAGGCACGTACTCGCTCGCCAATGGCGTAATGCGAGATTACTATCTAATTTGTATCGCCGTAAAACTCCTAGGCTCCGGTGTAAATGAAACTATCGCCACGCTCGCGACGCCCGGCGAAATTTATTTAACGTCGCCACCCTGCTCCGTCGCCGCGGAAGAAGCTCGTCGCGGCTGTATTCCCGGCCGCGGCGGCAGGAGTGGCGACGTCGAAGACATCGCGCGCGTCGAGGAAATGTCATTCTGACATGTCCATAGAGGCGCGATTAAAAGTTTCATGGGCTCCGTTTATGAGTCCTCTGGCTGCGCCATCAACACTTTCAATATCCTGCGATCAATGAGGCGAAATATCTCTTCGGACGTAGCAACGGCTACGCGCGGCTAATGCGCGCCTCGCCGCATTCAAAGCGAATTTGATAGAAATATGAATCACGCGGTCGTAACGCGAGACGTGACGGGATAACGAGCCTGCTCTTCATCCTCTAACATCTTCTAACACAAGGTTTCTTGACCGCGTCTTTACGCTAATCGCAGCCTGCCCGTTCCTGTATAGTGATTTATGCTTATAAATTGCTAATTGATAGCGCAGCACGGCGCGTAGTGATTTAACAGAAGTGGTCTATATTCTCGTTACCGTGACGGCCGTTTACGTCTTTCCGCGATGGCGATATCGATTACGCTTAATCCGCGCGCGCGAGCGAGCGAGTTCCTCGGCTCTCGGTCGGCTTTTAACGCAGCCCGCTCGCCCTACGGTAAACGCTTGTAATTACCCCGGTAGGAATAAAGGATGTAATTATCGTCCAAACCAGGAGGCGCGGCTTACCGATGTTGGATGGGCCCTGCCTCTGCTCCCGTAGGGCCCTTCCGCACGGCCGTATGTACATTTGTGGGAGGATTTAATCGACAGCGTCGATCGGATCGGCTCCGAAACTGGCACTGACATGAGAAATCGAAACAATGGTGGACCACCGACGAGCGTGGTCGTATTTTCTGTACAAGGAGGATTACGTCGCCCCTGTTCGCCGATCCGAGTGCGTCGCGAATGCACCGTAATCGGAGTCTACTTCAGTGGTGGAATAACGAAATAAGACATCTGGCATGCAGCATCGATGAAATTCGCCATTCGCAGCACTCTTCTGCTGCAATGTCTTCTGGAAGATATTTTTCGTCGGTCTTTATGTAAACGTAATCGAAGGGATTTCTGCAAATCTCGTCTTTCGCACGTCAGCGTGCCAATGTCGTGGCCCCGCATGTCCCCCGAGCTCCACTCTACGGTTTTGCCAGCCTCAAATAGCGAGGATTCGTAACGATAACAGAGTCATGCCGCGCGTGTTCGCCCGTAGACGGGGTCGCTCTGCAAACCGATTTACACGACTTTAACGATCCCTCGTGAAATTTACGAGCGGTCGCAGCCGCGTGCCAGCTAGCCCCCATAGTCCCCGCGAATGCATTGCGCCAGTACAGAATAATTCTTTTACTGCCGCAGGTGTTGCTACGGCCGACGTATATCAGCCGCCTCGGTCGTGGAATCAAAGTCGAGTCTCTGATGATATACTTCTTCCTAACCACGTACTCTCGCATCCCACTGGCCAAGTCGATCCGAATCTTCGACGAAAATCTCTTTCGAATCGTTGAAAGCCGTAGCATGTATTTGGACATTCTTTTGACACTTTAGACTTCCGCGGACTGCGGCGAAATGCTTGACCTAGCTTTCAAATTAATGCTGTATCTTTTAGGGATTTGTTTCCATCGTTCCGTAAACATTTCAGTTCACTTCTTTAGGAGACTACCTCAGACCGTTTCTCTATTGAAGTCTCCCGAAGAAGTGAACCGGAATGTTCACAAAACATCGGAAATAGATATTTTGTGAACATTCCACCAAGGACGCAGCATCAGCCCGGAAGCCAGACCAGACATTTAGAAATTTTATTTTACCCTTTATAAATTATCCTTACATTTTTGCGAGAGCATCACATTTTTCTGTCATTCTTCATATCAGGATACTGGTATCTTCACCTCCGCAGCGTGATGGAGGCGACAGTAAACGCAGAAAGTGAGCAGCGAGCAGTCATTGTTGCGGACAGACAGATCACACTGGATCGCGCTCGTACGGCGATTACGATGACTTATGAGGAAGCGTAAATTCATATTTAAGGACAAATTGCGCCCAAGCGACGATAAATGCGCTCGCGTGCGCCGCATATGGTAATGCGTTATGCGACACAAGTCGGGGTACACGTCGCGCGCACTTTGTGCTCGCAAATTAGTTCCCGCGTTACGGTTTTCAATTTCTTCGCGTAATGCTCGGACGGCGATATTGTAATTTACTCACACTGCGCCCATCCGATCGCCCCTCGCGAATGAGAAGAGCTCATCCGTTTCTTTGGGCGGATTCGTTCGACCGCTTCTTAGCACGGCCAAGATAAAACGATTCGATAGTACGGATCCAATGCATTTTAAGCACGACCCCCTTGAAGTGTCTTTAACTTCGCGGAAGAGCGCGCCCTGATCCGAAGGCTGCACGGTCGCGTTGCGTATGTATCGCGCGTGATCGTTCCCCCGGTGACAAAGTGGCCTCACGATGAGGACAAAAGAACGAAATCAAAGGGAGACCTTTATGCATGAGAATGCAATTCGTCAGCAGCGGCCGCAATGTGGAGCGATAAAGCTGTCGCTGTGCTCGTGATCCGTAACAGTTTCCTTCACTCTCGCCACAAGCGCATTTTGCGAATTCCGCAGCAAAGGACTTCCGCCAATGTATAAGCGCATCTCGTTGTGTTTGAATAATATCCTTCATTTAGATCAACGATGAAAAGTTATATCGTCAAGGTCTTGACTTTGATTCCACGACTGAAGTAGGTGCGGTGACACTTGCGACAGTAAAACAATAATAATCTAATAATCGAGTGTTTATTAAATTCTTAATTGAATTCTAAATTTTTCGAGTGAATACTTCCACTCGGAATTGAAGGATGAATGTGTCTGATACGTACCATTATTATAGAAACATATTCACTCCGATCGCCTGGAACATTCCATGATATAGGGACAAGATTCACCCTAAGGGTGAAACGTTTACTCTTGCGATTTTGAGTGACAGTATCTTCACTGTCGCTTCTCGAGTGACGACGACTTTCCACTCGTTTTGAGCGAGATCGCTCTCCACGAGAGATTTGGAGAATAAATTATTACTCTCGGCGCAAGTACTGGAATATCACTGAAAGGACTATTTCTCGAATTTCAGGCACCGCCATGGGAACCGTGCTAACCACCATCACGGCGAACGACGTCGACAGTTCGCCGGTGCTGACGTACCGTTTCGGCAACCTGACGAGTCCAGGACCTTTCAGCATCGACCGCTACGGCGGCAAAGTCGTCCTACGGAAGCGTCTGGACGCCGAAACGCGCTCCGAGTACACTCTCCAGGTGATCGCCAGCGACGGAATTCACGAGGCTACGACCGACCTTACCGTGCGTGTCACCGATCTCAACGACAACGCGCCGCGGTTCGAGCAGGCTGCCTATGTGGCTGTCCTTTCAGGTACGTACAAGGAGGCACGATGCCTTCGCTCCGAGAGGAATGAACATATGCGAGAGGCAGGTAGCAGGCCGAATCCGATCGAAACTTTGACGATGATCGGACGCGATCATCGCGCAGGTTATCGCGCAGCGCTCGCTCCGCCGAGCAGGTGATAATTCTTTGATTTATTGAGGAACGATCGTTCTCGAGATTGCGCGGCTGTTCCGCGGCGGTAGCGTGGGATGAAATCGCGGGACGGGCGTTGCGTCCGCTCGTCGGCGAGGTATGAGATTCTTGCTCGCGGGTCGTTTTGTTGCCGCGTCCCTTCGAAACAACGCGAACCTCCTGCGGCTCGGCGCGTTATGAAACATTTATAGTCCATTAATGGTGTTGTACGTTCGTACAAATTATACCGTAAAAAGATCGATTTCATTGATTGTTCCGGGCAGATAATCCATCCGACGTTCTATTACCTTTTTACGCTCCGCACCGCTTACGATCGAAGACAATACACAGCAATCGCGATTTTATCCGTCGGATTTACTATCGATCACACCGTAGACCTGTTATTGGTCGCTTTGCGCGAGTTCTGTCACTCTGTCGCTAGACGATACTTCAGTGTTAGCGTTCTGTCGAAAAAATCGAAGCAGTAGAGGCACAAAGAAATGAGGAAAGGGGGAGGAAGAAGCAAGAGGAAGGAGGATACAGGCGGGCCCCTCGGCGCGAAATAAACGCGCGTTTAAAAACTGGTTTTTAGTAGACACGCGTTGTCCTGTTGCCCGTGTTCCAAACTCGAATTGACACCGCGCCGAGATAAAGCGCGCGAGAAAGAGCGGCGCGGGTATGAGGGGCGAGGGAGGGAGTAGGGGGAATATGGAGAGAGAGAGAGAGAGAGAGATAGAACCAGAAAAAGAAGATAAGGAGGAGGAAGACCGATGAAAAGCTAGCTGCTCGAATGCGAGAGAGAAAAAGATATGGTATATGGAGAAAGAGAGAAGAAGTAAAAGGAGAAGAAGGAGAAGAAAAAGAGAGAAAGATAAAAAGAAGAGTAGAGAAAGAGAGTGCGAGATCGGCAGGACAAGAGGGTAAGCGGGGGAGGGGAAGTACGAGAAGGAATGGCGAGGATGGGGTGGAAGGAGGGCTGAGGAGGATTGCGAACTCCTCGCACATAAATAAACGCGAGGACACCGTTTGCGAGGCAGCCGAAAAGCCGCCTTCACTGCAACCGCCGGCCGAGATCGCCGGCTTCGAGAGGACTCTCGAAACTTATTAAAAATACATAGGCCCGCGCCTAATGGTGCATTTGGGTGGGCGGCGGGGAGGCAGGGTAGCCGGGGTAGGGTGGATTGGCAGGCGGTGGATGGTGGAAAGAGTTCCAGCGGGGAGCTCCCACGGCGACGAGACTCCCGCGAATTTGCATCCTCCTCCTCCTTTCCAGCTCATCCCGCGCTTCGTGCCGCATGTTCGCGAAAAGCTATGTGGCGTTCCATTCGCGGCGGACAGGCGAGGTGGTAGGTTGCAGATACGATCGAGCGCGCGAAGATGCCTCGGCGAAAGTTAATGAAGCGTTTGGGGGGTTAATGGGATCGTTATAGATGTTCATTAAGGCGATAACATCGGGGTAGATCGAAGACACTTTGTTGCGGTCGTTCGCGGCCTTTCCGTGAAACCTCGCGGATTCTAATTAAATCTAAAAATCGCCCTCGAGGAGCCTATATTAGCCCGCAGATGCAGACCTTCCTCTTCTTCGAGGTACTTAACCCCTCGGCGAAGTTCACGGGGGAACGGGGATGACAGGCGGGCGAACAATGACGCGAAGATTAGCGAAACTATATTACGTTGGTCGAGAGAAACCGGGATCTCGAGGAAGGGCGAGACGAAGGGATTAAGGATAATAAAAAAGGGAAATAAGAATTCATCCCGACGTTCAAATGTCGTGACGCGGCGTGCATGCTCCGCTCTGGCCGCGGTCATACGCACTTGGCAATAATTATACAGTTCCTCTCACCTTCTCTCTCTCTGCTCTCGCGGTCGTCCTCTTCTTCTCTTCCGAGGATGCCCTCGCTCCGCGCTCCGGCGATCCCCGAAGGCCCATGTCCTCCAGGTTTATTTCGGACCCTCTTTCGCGCACACGCATATCGGCCTATATCCTCCTCTGCCTTCTGCACTTTAGGCCGCGGCTTGGCACATTAATGCCGAGTTATCCGGCGATTTGAAACGCATCGAAATGATTTTTGTATGCGCAACGCGCCATCGAGCCGGACCCACGGCACCGCGGCGCGATTTATATAACTGGTTATTATTTCATACTTCCGTTCGGCCTGATGTCAAGAAGGCTTATCCTCCTCCTTCGCCGTCCGAAAAAAGGCGTTCGTAATGTCGGTGCTGGTCGGCGGTGGTCGAGGACGCGTCTGCAACAAGAAGACGCGGAGAGTATTTGAACTCGCGCTCGTGATCGCTCGATCCTTCTTCTCCCGCTCCTCTTGCTTTCTTTCTTTCTTTCTTTCTCTCTTGCTCGAGCGGTCTCTCGTACAATGTACGACTCGATAATCGATCTTGCGAGAGTGCTTCTTGACTACCTGTCATTCATTAATGAATACCATCTCGTCTAACTATCAGTCGTGTATATAACTTCACGGGTACAAATATTTTCTCATTGCCCACTCGCACCGCTACAGTCGCCAACGTTGCTTCGTACGTGGTGTACAATGTGACGTGTTAATTTTCTCATTCCAGAAGGACGAGACAACCTGCAGGAAATCCTCACGGTGAACGCTACAGACGACGATATTTCGGAGGAGAACAGCCGGATACGGTATTATCTGCTGCGACCTACCAAGGGATTCTCGGTACACCCTGTCACCGGAGTCTTGACCGTCAATCGCACAGCGATACCGAGGCCGCTACCGAAGGAGTTGGACCTGGTGATCGTCGCGGAGGACTACGGCAAGCCTCCGGCGTCGTCTGTGTGTTCGGTGGTCGTGCGGCTTAGCAGTTTAAAGAGCGCCCTTCCTGGGCGTGAGCACAAGATCACGATGAAGGAGAGCTTGCCGAAGGGTACGACGTTGATGAGGCTCTCCGAGGTGGACTTGCTGGATGGCGCTATCGTTGCGGGCGACGATAGCGATGTGTTCGAGATATCTAGGGGCAGGTTGATCCTCTCGAAGGCACTTGATCGCGAGACGAAGGACAGGTAAGCGTCGTTAGTTTGAGTGAAAATCTGATTTTGCTGTATATTATATTATGATTATTTTTTGTGATTATATATTAGTTTTATAATGAGCCATTGATTTCTTTTTTATTGTTGTTTGAATATACTTTCTTTTCATTGTTTTTCTCTTTATTCTCTTTGTTTCTCTTCATACGTGATGTCATTTGTGAATTATCAACAGATTCTAAAAATCGCGTATACTTTTGCTGCTGCAGGTACATGTTGCGGTTAGGAAGTAAGAGTGAAAACATGACGGCGGGCTCGCTGGTGGGAGACGAACCAGTGATGGTGACGATCATCGTAGAAGACGTGAACGATAACTACCCACGCTTCCTGGAAGAGTCTTATAAAGTATGGATCAAAGAAGATGCTCCGCGCGGAACGACCGTTGCGATCTTACACGCCAAAGACGACGATTTGCCTGACAGCCCGGCAGCCACGTTAGTGTATGACATCACCTCAGGGAACGACGGCGGCCTTTTCCGCGTCGAAAAGACGACCGGCGCTGTTTTGGTGAACTCCACGCTCGACTGCGACCTTGAGCCCGAGGTGTATAATCTCGTGATGATGGCGTGCGACAGCGATCCGGTATCGCCTCTCTGCGCGCTCGCAAAATTGCATATTCACTTAGAGGACGTGAACGACAACTCGCCTAAATTCCCCGTCTCCGAGTATCTTGAATTTGTCGGCGAGAACGAACCGGTCGGCACTACTGTCTTTTCCGCGCGTGCCTCGGATCTGGATCGAGGTATCTTCGGTTCGTTGAATTACTCCATCGTTTCCGCCGCTGCGACCGGCTTCTCCGATATCGACGATAGCTGGAAACTATTCACCGTCGACGAGAAGTCAGGCACTGTCACCACACGCGCTATGTTCGATTACGAACAACGAAATCGGTATGCCTTCACGTTGCGCGCCACTGACACGGGTGGTCGTGCCGCGGCGGTACGTGTCAGGGTGGAGATCGAGTCGAGGGACGAGTTCTACCCGCAATTCACCGAGAAGACGTACCGATTCGTAATAAAGAACCTCGCTCAAGTATTACCTGGCACGGTGATCGGTCACGTGACGGCGACTGATCGCGACAAAGGTCCCGATGGTCGGGTCGTGTATCAGTTGATATCTCAGCATCCTTACTTTAAACTGAATCGCACTACTGGCGCATTGATCGTAAAACAGAAGTTGATACACATTGACATGGATGTGGAGGAGTCGTCGAGGTTAATGGTGAGCGCGAGTTCTGGTAGGCAAGGTTCTTTGTCCAATATGACGACAGTGGAGATCACTCTGATGGAGGACGACGAACCGAATGGAGCTAGAGGAGCCACCGCTTTAGATATTGGGTCAAACATGGCTGTGGCCACCGGCGGAGGCTTAGCTGATTGGGCTCTGGGTCTGCTGATCGCCGTTCTTCTGCTCGTACTCGCATTCGGCACTATTTTCCTCTATTTTCACATTCGTAATCGTCGTCACAAGAAACCCGGCTCGAAACCAGGTTTGAACGGCGAGAACAACGCCACTGCGTCGAATAGCTACGTGGACCCTAGCGCGTTCGACACGATCCCGATCAGAAGCGTGGCCGGAGTCGGTGCGAGCGGAAATGGCAGTTCCGCGAGTGCCGGTGGAGCAGGTGGCGCTGCATCCTGTCAATTCGCTCCTCCAAAGTACGACGAGATACCACCGTATGGAACATCCGGCCAATCCGGGCAACAGCAGGCTACCTCCGAACTCTCCGGAAGCGATCAGTCAGGCTCCTCCGGCAGGGGTTCCGCTGAAGACGACGGAGAAGACGAAGAGATCAGAATGATCAACGAGGGTCAGCAAACTGGTGATTCCGCGAGCGACCTTTCTGTTCATAATACTCAGGAATATTTAGCGAGATTGGGCATCGTGGACCCACCGGCTGGCACACCCAGAAGACCACCCGAAGCTCTACCCCTGGATAGTCTGCATTTGTTCGAGGACGAAGCCAGCACTGAGGCGGACATCGCGACATTGATCTATGGAAAGATCGGTGAAGCTGGACGACCTACTTCCGGTTTGGAAGTGCCAGGTGGACCATCGATGAACGGTTCATTGAGCTCCATCGTGCACAGTGAGGAAGAACTCACCGGCTCATACAACTGGGACTATCTGTTAGACTGGGGACCTCAGTATCAGCCGTTAGCTCACGTATTTAGCGAGATCGCCAGGTTGAAGGACGACGCCGCGAGCGTACAGAGCGGAAACTCCGGCAGCAGCGGCAAGACCAAGTCTGTACATAAAGCACCGCCGCCACCATTGCTCACCTCCGTCGCGCCAAGGTCATTGGCGGCGCCGGCATTGGCTAGAGGCATCCTGCCGAGGTCGCCGATCAGTCACGACGCCTCTACCTTTCCCTCCGCCGCGTTGAGTCCGAGTTTCTCACCCTCGCTGTCACCCTTGGCCACAAGAAGTCCCAGCATCAGTCCTCTCGTGCCGCCCGCCACGCAGAGATCCAGTCAAAGTGCCAATCGAGGAATTCCCGTTACCGACGCTGAGCTTAGGATTTGAGGACCTTGCGATTCCGTATCCGGCGTGCCCGATCGCGTGTACAAGTTTTAGTGTTAATCCAGTGATGACTAGCCGGGAAAAGCGGCACCGGTAAGCTGATGCGGTGCCTCGTGTGCGTGTACGTGCGACGTGAACGCATATTCCTGTTGATACTTGTTGTTAAATGCGATTGATGTAACGAATATAGCTCTCTCTTTCTCAGACTGTGCAAACAACATGACTTGCGGGTATGGTGTTAACGAGTGATTTTAATTTAGGAGTTTCAATTTTTGACCGGCCGTCGAAATGAGCGACGACCGAATTATTCCTCTGCGCAAACGCTACCTTCCCGCGATTAATCGTCACTGTGTAATTAATTAACGATGATTAATTAAGTATGAGCGTTATAGATAGTCTCAATTTACTGCGTGACGAGTGATGAAATTGATATCTCACTCTTTGATGGGCGATGTATGTACGACTGATGAATCGATGTCTTTTTTTGTTTTAATTATCAAAAGATCAATTATTGTCTCGATATTTTACAGGGTATAATTTTCGTTCAAATTGTCTCTAAATCTGTCCTATCATTCGGATTTTTATTTCTCAGTAATTAATTTCACTTTTCAATCATTTACTATACGTTGAGTATTTATGAGAAAATTAAAAATGAATCGATTATTTTCGATGTTTTGGATGCCGATTCTTTTTTTCAATATCGCCCTATGTCACTCACAAGCAAAGTGATATGCGGGAAAGCGGCGATTGCGTCTAGACAGTTCCGTGTTTGCATACAATACGAACGCGTCACTGGTTCCGGTTACAATTAATAGTTGAGCGGGAAGAAAATACTTCTCTTTCTGTGAACGGAACGTGTTGTAAATATCCGCCGGATGCGACGGCATATAGTCATTAAGTAGCATTGTAAATAACAATTCACGAGAAATAGCGACGTTGTCATAATCAAAAGGATAGACTGCTCTTATGTAAACGGAAGCTCAATGGTCGCGCCGTGTTCGTTGAAAACGCGTGGATATATGTATATATTACAATCTAATTTTATAAAGTCGAATCTCTTTCTTGTGGTTAATGCTACACGGCGAATACGGCAATATCATTGGAGCGGAAGGAAAACCTGCGCCACCACGAGCGAACTGACCACACCAGATTTCGTGGCGGCGCGTCTCTAAATGCAATCCTGTCTTTGTTTACTAATTGTTATTTTGCCCTTATCCCCTGAACGCGATCTCGATGTAACGGGGGATGGAATCTCAGCCAGGCACATATACATACGCACTGAAAAAAAAAATATATAAATGTATGTCTGATATTTTGTATAAATCGCTCTTTGTACAAAGACTTCCGAGCTGAGGGCCACGCGACGTGGGCCTTAAATAAATGAATTTTTTAGGATATTTGTGGTTTTTTCTAGGGAATTATCCCATCCATTTCACTTGGGTAATTTATCGAATCAACGATCTTTATCTATGATCCGCATTTCAAACGATAAGGAACTGGAAGTGGGAATTAGGAAGTGACGGAGATTTCGCTAATGAAAAAAGCAGAATACTTCCACGTATAAACTTGCATCTTGTTATACAACACGTTGAGCCTTATAAGTATTTTAACATGTATTCATCGGATTATTTTGATAAGTTTATCCCTTCTCTCCTCCGCTCGTTTTACCGCCGCAACTAGATCAGTCAGTATTTCACTTTCTCAACGCTCGAAGGTAAAACGTGCCGAGTGAAAACGGGAGCACCCGATATATCACTCGAAAGAATGGCAGGGTATTCCAAATGAAATCGAAAATTTACAATAAACGAAAGTATAATTCGTTCAAGTAAACTTTAATGAAAAGTACCCGTTATCAACTGTAATTGTCTCTCTGTTCTTAAGTATCAATTAAAGGTTCTCTCAACTATAAGTTTCTATTTCTTGCATTGCTTCAATCGTCAAATGTCTCATTTCGATGTTTCAAGTATAAATGCCATCCATGCATTTTACGATTTCTAGTCCTTAAGTTTACATCTTCTGGAACATATCCCTAACAGCGAATTGCATTGAATAATTCTTACGCTAGTGTAAAACAATATCTCACTTGCTTCTTTTGTTTCCTTCTTAACAACAGAAACTTCTTTTCCTTGCGGATGCGCTTTCGAACAAACAAAAAAAAACAAAAAAAAACCCCGAATAACATGAAATCCATACTCTAATGAATGAACATTAATAATTACCATGAACGCTAATAATGTTGTGTACCCGAATAGTTTGTACATTTAAACAGTCTCTACGATGAAACACGTATCGACCTACCTACCTAGTGCCTAAAGTCAGCAAAACCTTTATAGGAGGGTTGTTTACCAATTACATTGTCTAGCAAAACGATATTATCATATGGTGTGTCCAGTCTTGTTGCCGCTCGACGAGGAGTCGCGCTTATTTAATTTCCCATTCTCTTATTAGATCGAATACGTATAGTCTCTCACATACGATCGCAGATTTTATCTGTTCTAAGCTACTTGAATGGACAACATTATACTGGAAGGGGTATATTACTCTACGACAGGGAATACTAGTCGAAAAGGCGCGACGAGACAGAGTCTTTTACATTCGTGATCGTACTCGACGAAAACACGAACGTGACCAGAAATTTCAAAAACGTGATTTCTGTATACAATTTCTAAAAGAAAACTCCTAATATCCTTCTGAAAATTTGCTTATGAAAATTTTTTATTAAACTGACAAAAAATGCAATTTCTTTGAATCTCTAATTTTTACACGATGAATACAATCAGGATTCTAAATTTCCGTCTCGACGACACCCTTCCGTCTAAAAACACACGTGTCTTTCTAAAGCGGGGCACGTAAGTTTCTACGCATCAGTTTTTGTCTATTAATGGTCCGATAGTTAGTTCTCGATATGACTTTTAAAAACTATTTAAAGTCACGCGCCCGCTAGGTAAGTCTTTTTTTCTTTTTTTTGCCGTATTTTTCGCGTGTGGTTAACATTGATCCCCGCAGAAACATGCACTGTCGTGCGTCTGTTTTAATTGCCCTCCCTCGATTTGGATTGCGATCAGTGACGACGATACGCGATACGAAGTACGCGTGGTCTTTGGTCATGTAGCCTAAATACAGTATTACAGTAATATGAAGATGTAATTAAATGTACTTGCTTCGTGTGTCCTAGATATGTAGATATGCACGTAGCTATCTAACAATGTTATCACATCAAGTTTATTTTCAACACCGTCGTAAAAAATTTCTTTATCATCGGTAGAAACTGGTATCCGTCGCGTCACTGAAAACAGTCGTGTGCTCGATCCACGGTGTGCGGGGCCTAGAACGTTCTAAATACATCGAAAAAGCGTCAGTAATTGGAATCAGCGCCGATACACACATTAATGCACGCCCCCGGCGCGTGAGGGTACACTCGAAAAAAGAACTTAAGAAATTCTTTACTTTCATCGCGCCTGTCTGTTATTGGCGCATTGAAATAAGGCACCACATTCGACGCTGTTTACGCGATCGATCGTAGAAACGATCACTGATTCTTACGGGAGCGCGATCGAATCGGTGATCACTTGGTTTTTTTCTGCTACTTTATGAATCTTCTTCCTACGATCAACTATCGTCTATTCAAACTCGAGTCGGTCGGTCGGTCAGTCGAATTAGCCCTCTTCCAATTCAGTCTGCAATTTTCTTAGGGTCGTTGGACGACTCGTACCTCGACTCTTCAATTATATTTCGACAACGTCGAGCGTAGTTAATAATGCGCGGCAGCGAAACGACTGCCACGCATCCTCTTGAGAAAGTATTCTTCTCCCAAACTTGTGGAAGCCTCGATTGAAGCTTTTAAAATACGTATATCGTTTCTTATTGCTGTATCTGCACCCCATGTGGTAACGCATTCTCCATTATTTATTGACTTAGGATTTTCTCGCGTCGCACTGGCTACCGTGAGAGTTCTCTCTTTGTTTCTCTTGATTTTGTGAATTGTAGAACTCCTTCGCGGAAGATCCTTACGAACTTGGAAAATTATTAGAACAAGGAGAAGCTGAGGAACTAAACGCGCCGTTGGCGCAACCTATGTACCCTTTTTTGATCCTCGATGAACAGGCCGTTGTCCCGTCAATGCGCTCAAACAGCTCGCAGAGCCAAGATTATTTACTCGTTGATGGGACTCTACGGTGGTTGAACTATTCTGCGAGGCTAACCACTAGTCAAACGGTCTCCTCCGTCACGCTCCGCGACATGTGCAATGCTCCGAGGCTGAAAAGAAAAATAGAACGATCTGAAGGATATTTTCGCTTGCTCACTTGAAGATCAGACATCAGGAAGACCATAAATACGTCATTTTCTCAAGATTATCTCTATGACAAAAAGTACAAAATAGCTACAAAAGTTACGAGAACGCAGCTCATCCCGATATTCCCTTTATTCTTCGCATTTACAGTCTTTCTACGATGTCAAATCTTCACTTTGCTTATCAATTTGCAAAGAAGCCAGTGATGAGCTAAGCGATGTTATTAATGAAACAATGTGATCTAGTACGATCGTACAAAGTGATAGCCTAGCCCTACCAACAAGCGTGTTTACTTGGCGATCCCCGTTATCCGTGCGTCGTCTTGCATCTCGACGACGACAGTGTCAGGATCAGGTACCCTGTTGGCGGAAATGCATCCATTGGCGATGGTGGTCGGCAGCACCGTCTCCGACTAAAATCAATAAATTATCGCATATTCTTGTAACACATCAGTGTCGTAAAAGTTCAAGCGAGGCGGATTGTTGAGTTAGCGTGTTATATGTACAAGTTGCAAATTACACATTCAAAATTACAAAGCTATTAATTAGTATATTTTACTTGGTAGGCTGCTGCATCCAACGCCATTAATTCCTTTTTAGATAGCTGCTCGACCACGGCTGCAGCATAACAGTCTCCCAGCATATTGTTGGTGGTCCTTATCCGATCTCTAGTTACATAAAAAGTTACATGATATGTCTCGTAAAGCGTTTTATCTGTCGTAAAGATATGATTTGATTTATAGTACGAGTAATATTTTATTACTTTCCACATGAAATTTAACCCGATATATCCGAAAAGTTCTTTTTAAAATATATATATGTATGTATGTATATACAGACGGTATATACTTACACAAACCAATCGATGGCAAACAAGAGAGACACATCGTTAACAGGTGCGTCTATAGCGCTTAAAACGACCAGCAGCAGGACAAGCGCAGCACTAGGTACCGAGGCCGATGACACGGAAGCAGCGGTGGACGTCAGACTTCACAAGATGAAAGGTAGTGAATTAATCATGTGTACACACAAATACGAATACAAGAAGAGGAATGTTTTACTATTCACAAGCTAGATAATGCAACTTACATGACGGTGATAATCTCCCCGAAGCCCAGGAAGATGCCGTTCATTTGAGCGATGAATATGCTAGCCACTGCTACGAAGAGCGCGGTACCGTCCATGTTAATATTGCAACCGATCGGTAGGACGAATCTGGTGACTCTAGGGTCGACTCTAAGCTTCTCGGTCATCAGACGGAAAGTCACAGGAAGTGCGGCAGCCCTGTACAAAGCTGCGTTAGCAAAGATCAGGCAAAGCATGCTGCCGGAATAGCAGAAAGATGTGTTCCACGTCGCCTGTTGCCGCAGTAAGTGGTCATTCTGGCATAAACTTATGTACAGGTGAGATGTATTAGCAGCATGAGACTTAGTGATTCAGTCTCTCAGATGTAATTTGAAGAGAAAGTCTTTTATAATCAAACAGAACAGAGATGCAGAATGATTTGCAGAGAATCGACGTACGAATGAAGGTAGAATACTTGTTGTCGAATTTGGATATATCGATTACGTTAATTGTGGAAAATATCTGCAAATAGTAGAAAGGGGTGCCAGCAACAACCAGAATGACCGTGAGAGAACAACCTGAAAATTAAGCGGAATTAGCTTAGATGTCACTGCCCGTGGTATTAGCCGGACCGCATTGCCTGCAAGATCCTACAACAAACAAACGTATGTACCTCATGTTGCGGCCATCAATTACTTACCAAGGGCTACCCTCGGTCTTTCAACCACCTGCAAAAGGCCGCGTGCAGTGCGTGTTCTAATACATCATCATGATTATACAGTCTCTGTTCAGATACACTGAGAACAGTTTCTCTCAGTCACAGTGTACGCACAGTTGTGTACGCTCTCTTCTGGAAACAGTTAATCCACAGAGAAAACAGATTGAGTTAGATGTGACTATATAGACCTAGTCAGGAATCATAATCGATACAAGCACTGTTAAAATAACAAAAGGGGAGCGAGGTAGTCGAGAATGCGGGATCGAGTGGCGGAAACAAACAAGTTTGGACGATTGCTCTCGTTAAATCAGAGGATTCTTTGATCGTCTCTAATATTAATGATGTTAATGAATGTTTCGTGTATGGAGGACGAAAGAAAAGAAGGACCTCGCATGGGAATGACTGGTAATGCGAACTGAAAAAATGATCGTTGCTTCGCGTGACTCTCAGAAATGAATTATCAAGAAACAAATGATCGCACGTTGTTCTCAGCAGTACAGCCGGTCATCGACGTCCTCGTCGTACCTGCAAGAGTAGCGAGCTCGACACGAGCAACCAATATTTTTTCAGTTCTCTCTTTTATCTTTTTTTTCAGAACAGTGTGTACTTAAGTTTAATAATCATATGGCTAGGCGTGAAAGCCTCCTTTGGTGCGGTATCTTCTTTCTCCTCCTTCGCCGTCGAGAAGGGAGAAGTCGGAAGATTCCCGAGTTCACGAGTCACCTAGCAGGCTTCCACGCCGCAAATCAGTCCAGGTAACACGGAGTCAGCAGATGGCCGGTTTGGGGAACATCATTATATCGAGGTAGTTCCACACTCTCGCGTCTACGCAATCATACTTTCGACATCACTTCACGATCTCGCGTTCGTGACAGTGATACATTATAACCGCGACGACGAAATTCCGTTTGTGTTACCATAAATCCTGGCAACATTCTTCGGAAGTTCGCGTTTGCCTGGTGGTCGGCAACCGGAGTATCAGCATCCTAAGTGCCACCCGGAACTGCATACCTCTCTCCCTTTCTTTCTCTTTTTCTCTTTCTCATGGGGCATGGCGAGCTCTCCTCGCGAAAACATTAAAGAGATTGTCAGGTGTGAAGGAAGGACCGGTGGGATAATTGGGAATTGGCCAGCGTTCCACAACGTCTTCATCTACTAAATGTAAATTCTGTGGAATACGAATCATTTGGCAATTTCATGGCCAGAAGTCATGTAAGGCTGGCTCTAATGATACAGGAGGGATAACGGGACCGTGGCCTCGCAAAGCCTCCATACAGCTGGCTGAAACATATTGTCTCTATCAATCGATTTGAACTCGGTATTATCTTCCATCGTCACGTATCACTCGTTGTCTATTTCCGTCTGTTTTACGATGTCGAATGTTTTGGAATCAACTATCATCGGCACTATTCAATCGCGTAACAGACCAGCTCCATTTCGCGCAAGCATAGAGAGGTAGATGTGTACGTATGTATGTATGTGCATGTGTATGTGTTGTGATGAAAACAAGAAGGGAAAAAGGAAGTATAGATGGAACGTGTCTGCGAGGAACGACCGATGAGGAAACGGAGCTACGAGGTCAGAAAGTACGATCACAACGTTGACCGAGGCCCTGTGAGGCAGGCGAAATGGATTCTCTCAAGGTCGGGCTCAGGTTCGAAGATCGACGACTCACGTTGATGCCATGGCGAAGGCGGTGAGGGTACCCTGGGCCAGGCCGGCGTAGAATTTAAAGGGGTTCTTTCTAACGAAGGCCATATATATCAGTTGCATGATCACCAGTTGATAGAGAAAGACACCGATCGCGATCGTGACGATGAACCACGCCAACTGCGACATCACCAGTACCAGGTCGTCCACGCCGAGTATTTTGCCCGCTATCACGGAGGTGATGCCGACAGGTGTCATCCTGGAATCGAGACGTTGCTCTCTGTCTATCGATTGTCTATCGACTATAGTGAATCCAGGGTTGGGAAAGCTACTTGAAAACTCGTTACCTCGCTTGTTACTTTTGAAAAAAGTAACTCGTTATCATTCTTCCAATCGATTCGTTACCATTACTCAATACATTCATTTAAAAAAGTAGACAAGAAGTACGTTACAATTCTTGTTACCTTTTGCGCCAAGTTCCGACGACCTTCTCAGGGCTCTGCGTGTGACGATTTGTTATCGTTATCCAAAAAATGTAATTATGTTTTATCACTACTATTACTAACGTTAAAGAAGAAATAACCTCGTTACCAACTCGTTAGTAGAGAAAGTTATTAATAACGACATATGATATACGGAGCAATTAACGCATACTTCCCAGCCCTGGATAAATCATATAAAGCATCGTCTCTAATTATCACGCGACACTCACCACATAACCGTCGAGACCATACGCATAATTACTTCGAACACAGCCTTGAAGAAGTCTATTACGACCTGACCTTTCTCGCCTAACGTTCCCAGAAACGTTCCGAAAACTAGGCAGAAGAAAACTATGCCTAGAGTATTCGTACCGCTCCTGTACTGTATTACTCTCATCAACTCCTCGTCCCCCAGAACTTCACTCGGCAGCCGGTCGGTGTCGTTTTGGAACGGTTGCTTCTTCGGGACGTATACCGTGTGCGCCTGGAACGAAATTATTATTTCACGGCGAACTAATTTTATTTCGATGTGGCGTATCGGAAGGATCAGACAGCGTCCTCACCTGTTGGAAAGCTGCTTGAAACAGATTGTCCGGGAACATGTTTCTGCAAAGTAATTCATTCAGAATATGTGAATATCTTCAAAACGCGTTCGAAAATATTAAAAATGCAGAATACTTTTCTATCTTGGCGAATAGTTGTACATTTTAAACGACGTATTTTCTGTGGCCTTCGATTTATCCATAAACCTTAAGCACTTATAAAGTCGCGTTACGCGCATCGCAAGCTACAACGATTTTTCAGTAAAAGTGATCTTGGCCGATCTTATGCCGCGTTACTGAAGCGAACACTTATTAAATAGTTTCCAATAATGAGCCGCTGCGTCCTGTCTTTAATCCGACGATGGAAGACCCGCACACGTCAGACATTGCGCTGCTTAAACGAAGCTTTTGAATGCCTCGTGCGAATAAAACACGCAACCCGATCGATGCATTTATTTTTGTCTCAACGACTAGCATCCGCGATCACCGTGGATTCCGTTTAGCGAGTTTTACGCCTCGTGAAACCTATGACCTTAATCCGTTTTAGATAACTACGCTAGTCCGATGATGATGAGAGTAGGTAGACGTATCCTAAATCGATATTGTTTCGATGTGGCGTCATCGTCGCGCACGCTAATTGACACATTTCGGTATCGAGAAGCTGTGGGAGGAAGTTCCGGCATATATTCTCGTTAAAAACTTTCCAAGAGATGTATCTTATTCGAGATGTAAGACGATGAGACGATTTCCGCCGGCAAAGTGGCAAACTTCCAGATTAAAATGAGCGAAATTAATTGTTCATTAACATTGTTTTCTGATTGTTCCGCCGCATGCGATGACCTTCGTACTCAATTGCCTCTTCGATTTCGATGGGGAAATTTCCCCGAGTGAGTCTATGTACATTGTCAATATTGATAGAATCGATGGCGAACATTCGACAAGATATCAGAGACATAATTTACCTTCCCAGATCGAGCAGGCTGTCGAGTATGTTAACGGCTCTCGCGTGATGCGAGGAACCGATCGATTCCCTGATGCCAGGATTACCGGGATGAATAACGAGGACTAGGGCTACTCCAAGGACAGCGTTGAGCAAGGACGTCAGTATGAAGTATACCAGAGTACGAACGGCGATCATTCCGTTCATCCTGGCGTTCAAACTCGCTGAACCTGGAATGTATGTAAAAATGCATGAAAAAAAAACGTCCGACATGCATTACTCTACAGCGTGTGGGTGTGCACGTACGCGCGTGTAACGATAAAAAGGAACTTACCCGATATAAGACTGGCGATTACCAGAGGTAAAATCATCAGTTTCAGTAATCTCATAAACAGTTCTCCCGGGTAGCTAATCAGCATCACCGCGTCGTCTCCCAGATCCAAGGGACGCAAGCCGAACCCTGAGAAGAGACAACGTAAAATCAATTGGCGATTTTACGTCACTGCGACGTTACTTTCCCGTTAGTATATAGCGCGCTCGGTAGATTCTACGAAAGGCATAGCCTTGAACTATATTTAAACTGGCTTTTCATTTGGAGGCGAAGAAAGCCAACTCCGCTTGGCGAAAAGGTGAAGGTTTGATCAATTTCTGTTGCACGAGGTCAATTCGGTTGAAATATGGCCAGATTTTGATACATTCACATGCACAAACGGCGACGTGCCAACGATAGCCGTTGCGTCAATATTTACACAAAAAAGAATGACGTCCGTCACGTAGTCGGCGATCTCTCGTTTGAAAGAAGAATATGAATGGAAGTCTTGATTTAGACTCAAACTGACCGAACAGGGTCTTTTAAATTATTACAACTCCGTCAATGCTTCTATTTATAGAGAAGTATCTATAGACATTGCATGTTCGCTTGTCAACTACCAAGTCAAACTGTCGAAAGCGGAGATTCGTATTGACACGTGATATCGTGCGTCGAACTCCATTAATGACATTTACCTATCGCTAAAATTGCACTTACAAATGCTTCAGTCGTGTCGAATTCACGTGGATTCGTTATATGCATTTAAGTAGACTTTTCGCGTTGCTAAATTCGCACGATCGAACTTTTCAAGGAAAACCTTGGCCAATGATTGACACCTTTTAATGAGATAACGGTATACGTATTTACGTAACCAACGATAATTTCGAACTGGGTCGAACGTGATGACGTACACGTAAAATCGATTTGTGTAAAAGTTTGCTGTACGTCACATATTGTAAGACATAAAATATTTTGAGCAATCTCTTTCTCTCTTTCTCTCTCTCTCTCTCTCTCTCTCTCTCTCTCTCTCTCTCTCTCTCTCTCTCTCTCTCTCTCTCTCTCTCTCTCTCTC